CATACATATATATATATATAGTACAAAGAATTACCATACGTATACATGCAAAAGCATACTGGTGGCCTAATCTGATGTTGTACACCTGGTGTATCTTTAAAGGAGGGATCATACATACATATTTATTAAATAATTAACTTGAGTTGTTTTTCAACAATAATAAAACAAGTGATGGCCCAATTTATGGAAGTGTGCATGGGGTCTTTATTGTCAAATTCCTGTACATGTGATCTTTAATCGTACAGTTCACTATGTTTTCAGTAAATGTGGCCTTCAGTATTTAGTTGTAAATATTATTGGCACACTGGTAATCAGGAAGATCTGTGAATGATGTCAATATTGTAATTAAGTACCTGTAAATACTATTATAGGTGTGGGGCTTTACTCCAAAAATACAGAGCTAAAAACATTGATAGACATAACTATCGGTAATAGGACTGGGAGCATTGTCAATACTGGATCAAGTACCAACGATCTAGGAGCTTGTTTACCTCCAAGGTCGGTGTATTGACTGAGCGGTCATCTTTTGACTCGGGCTGTCTACCTGTCTGGTATCTGTTTACCTGTATGTATAGTACAGGTCTGCTCATTAAGTCAGGTATTGCTATCTGATAGCTTAATAGTTACTGTGATATATGTACAGTGATGTACTCCTTCTGGTCAAAGGTCACTCAGACTCTCCACAATATCTACAGGCTAGAGCAGGCTAGGGGCATCTGAGGTCATTAGCTTATTTATTGTCTTAAGTGGTTGTCCTTGAATTATTCGTATGTGTACATTGTAGTTATTGTTGTGTATTTAATTACTGTATTGTTTATAAATACACGTCCATTGGTTGTGTATGTAAACTTTGTCTAGTGTAGTCTGTGGATTGTCTATGTAAACTATATCTAGATTATCTGGTGTAGCTATAAAGTGTCTAAAGGTGTTGTAAATAGTACAGTATGTGTGTTAGGAACTTCAGTACTAATTCAATATTTTAATTTTCACGAGTTTGAAGTCTGATGAAACTTCACAAATTATGCACTGATCAGTATTTCCCCAGAATACACTGTATTTGACAGAAAGGTACTGTATAAAATTCCCTTTCACTGGAGATATATATTGTGTATCGTTCACGTCCCCTTTGTGGCGTTTTTTGCTTGGTCGACTTCTCCACTGTCTGTCTGGTGTGTGATGCCTTGAACTGAAGGCTTTGATTTGGTAGCTATCGGCCTCTCTAATTCTGGAAATGATTTGATTTAGCTGTCTGTAGTGTAGGTATAAATGGACTTGATCTAATTTGTGCTTTGAAAAATGGACAGAGTAAGAATGTTATTATGAAATGAAATGCAATAGGGAGTTGTATCTGTCTATCTTCCCCGGGACTGATTCACTGTCTGTCTATCCCCCCGGGACTGATTCACTGTGTCTATCACCCCCGGGACTGATTCAGTGTCTGTCTATCCCCCCGGGACTGATTCAGTGTCTGTCTAACACCCCCGGGACTGATTCAGTGTCTGTCTAACACCCCAGGGACTGTTACACTGTCTGTCTATCACCCCCGGGACTGTTTCACTGTCTGTCTATCACCCCCGAGACTGATTCAGTGCCTGTGTAACACCCCCGGGACTGTTTCACTGTCTGTCTATCACCCCCGGGACTGTTTCACTGTCTGTCTATCACCCCCGGGACTGATTCACTGTCTGTCTATCACCCTCGGGACTGATTCACTGTCTGTCTATCACCCCCGGGACTGTTTCACTGTCTGTCTAACACCCCTGGGACTGATTCAGTGTCTGTCTAAACATGGTGCTGTTATATATGTATAGGGTCACACATTAAACCAGTTCATACACGGTTTACACAGCACTTGTTGACAGTTGTGTTTTTTAGAAATTCTGTATTCTTCAGCTTAGTTTAGCTTGCAGTTGAAATAATTTTATGTCCAATTAATGGTATTGGGCTGATGATCAATTAAAATTATTAGAAATAATTCGGTTTGCCCTTTTCAATTTTGTTTATCGATTACAAATTCCATAAGCGATATGATTGATTTATTATGAAAACCAGTGTCGAATCATATAATGCATTGAATTTCATTTATTTCAATGATTTTTATGATATGATTGACAAAACTGATTAACAGGTGCTTGAAATCCATTCATAATAAACAAATAAAACCTGATGTATATGGTATAGTTTATAGTAACAACTTAGTGTTTTCAATTTATTTGGGTATTCACTATTCAGTTGTTTAAAAATTATCAACCGAATATGATTTTAAACTGACTGCCCATCACTTTAAGTGCTGCTTTCCATGTGTTCTTGGTGGCCTTAGACCAAATACCTGTATAAACTTATCCCTATGTAACTTCAGTAATCTCTTCCATGCATTGATTTGGATGAGTCGATTATACAGTGGTGAAAGGGTTACAGTGGTGTTTTCTAATTATGCTAGTTCTAAGGTCAGACGGCACAGCAATAAATCACACTACCAAATCATTGTAGTGCTGATTTAAGTGCTAAACTTTGTTTTTAATACAATTGTTTTGATACATTCAGCTGAACCATGACCGCTACTACTGGTAGATAAATGACTGGGTATCCCTATTCTCCAGGTAGATTTAACGACTGGGTATCCCTATTCTCCAGGTAGATTTAACGACTGGGTATCCCTATTCTCCAGGTAGATTTAACGACTGGGTATCCCTATTCTCCAGGTAGATTTAACGACTGGGTATCCCTATTCTCCAGGTAGATTTAACGACTGGGTATCCCTATTCTCCAGGTAGATTTAACGACTGGGTATCCCTATTCTCCAGGTAGATTTAACGACTGGGTATCCCTATTCTCCAGGTAGATTTAACGACTGGGTATCCCTATTCTCCAGGTAGATTTAACGACTGGGTATCCCTATTCTCCAGGTAGTTTTATGACTGGGTATCCCTATTCTCCAGGTAGATTTAACGACTGGGTATCCCTATTCTCCAGGTAGATTTAACGACTGGGTATCCCTATTCTCCAGGTAGATTTAACGACTGGGTATCCCTATTCTCCAGGTAGATTTAACGACTGGGTATCCCTATTCTCCAGGTAGATTTAACGACTGGGTATCCCTATTCTCCAGGTAGATTTAACGACTGGGTATCCCTATTCTCCAGGTAGATTTATCGACTGGGTATCCCTATTCTCCAGGTAGATTTATGACTGGGTATCCCTATTCTCCAGGTAGATAAATGACTGGGTATCCCTATTCTCCAGGTAGATTTAACGACTGGGTATCCCTATTCTCCAGTTAGATAAATGACTGGATATCCTTATTTATTCTCCAGGTAGATTTATGACTGGGTATCCCTATTCTCCAGGTAGATTTAACGACTGGGGATCCCTATTCTCCAGTTAGATAAATGACTGGAAATCCTTATTTATTCTCCAGGTAGATTTATGACTGGGTATCCCTATTCTCCAGGTAGATTTATGACTGGGTATCCCTATTCTCAAGGTGCAACAGAATCTGACCCTTGTTGTTAGCCTGCAGTATTAAAGAAGGCTGGAAGTATGTACATGAACCCTTTATTTCTAAACAAGAATTAGAATAATTAGGAAAATGCTGATGTACAATTTCAAAAGCCTTTGGCCTTGGGGTTAATGAAAATTTACAATATTAACTATAAAAAAATATATTTGGGGCTAGAACCGTTTCTGTAAAATCTATTTGTAGACTGGTTCTGTAATTATTTAAATATATGTAATTGTACACTCTTTCAAGTTTTACTCTCTCAAAACCAAACTTATAGAAGTACAACCCTGTAAATATATACTATAACTAATTATATAAGTCATAGAAAACATAATGCGCTTACTACATTTGTGTTTGAACTTTGATATTAGTGTTTTCTACAATCATCAAAAAAAGGATTCTTATATATATTAGGTTCAGTTACAATTACAATGAGACTGTAGCAGTATCTTTGGATTGTTAAATACAGATAGTGATAGAGAGCTGTTATTGTACTCAATAATTAATATGTATGTTCACATATATACATGTATATGTATGTCCACATAATTTTACAAGCTAATACCAATTGAGAACCGAAATAAACAAAATGGCTTCCATCAGTTCCTCTGATAAAAGAAAAAAAATGACATGTCTCTCAATATCTTTATTGAGACCAGCAGCCAGTCTCAATGTTGTGGTGATATTTTAAAAGTTGTGGATCATGTGTAAGAACTGGTGTTGTGAGAAGAACGTGTCACAGACAAAGGATAAGGACTCAGCTCTGTTGATTAGGAGGATCAGGGAGCGCTGTCCAGGACGCGAGTCAGTGAACCATGGGACTCTGGCCGATGTCTGCCATTGTCCTATCAGGAACCCAGAGGCAAGGTGTATCGGGTTACCAGGCGCTCAAACACAAAGGGGAGATTTTCTGACATTGGTTTCTGCAGGCTTGGTGATAATTTTAGAGATAACGATCAGAACGGATTGTTTTCACTTGACCTGTTCCTTTACCTGTATAATGGTGCTTGATGTTGTCTGTTGAGGTTGGTTTAAATGTCCTGGTTGTGACTGGTAGAATCAGCGACATGTACAAGCAAGACTGAGCAGGAACAGATTAATAATTGCACAACCAATGAGCCTGTCAGCTTTAAAAATAAAAATGTGATTTTTCCCAGACATTAGTCAGTTAGTCGCTGCCGCTTTGTGTGTCCTGTGAATGGCATGCTGAATGCACCTCATCTCTCTAGGGAGACCAGAAAGAAAACCATTCTATTTTCCCCCTCTTGAATTATGGAATAATTATCATGAGTCATAATACGACTGACTTTACACCAGCAGTGGTGAGTGGTATCAGACTGTCTGGTTAGCTGGCGAGACTGGTATGGGAGAGAGAGGAGGTTCTCTGCTAGCTGTAGGCCTCAAGATGCTGGCATAGTTACATAGGATTGCCAGCTGACTGACAAACAAACCCAGCGACTCACTGACAGTCAGACCCTGCGGCTGCTTGTCTGAGTAAGGCTTTTGAGTCATTCTTTATTTAATTCTCCGGCTGCAGCTCCAGGTCTCTCACAGTGAGAACGTGGCACTGTAGTAGGTATATACAGCCTCTCCTCCGACATCCTCTCTCCAGCGTCCATTAACCAGGGTCTGGGGGACAACAAAGAGGTTGTCAGAAATTTTAGTGTTGAATGGTAAATATTTTGTGTAAACTAGAACATGTTTCAATATATGATATTCTGTCTGGTCCCTTCCTTGTTTGGAAAATAATATTGGTTACAATAATGATTTGACTGTGTACCAGCTAGGGTAAATGGTGTTGGCTCTTGAGTGATAAACATGTACTTATGTTTGCATTCAACTCAAGCCAAATTGGGCCTGTTTTGATTTTTGAAATTCAATTTTTGACAATATAAAAGGGATTGTTTGCATTGATTTAATTTAATTGACTTTAATCGGAGAAGAGGGACATTTAATCTGAGAATACACAAAATTATCTAAAAATTAAAACTTATCTGTGCTGTGGGTATCGGTGTATGTAGTTGTTTAATATGACCACAATGGCGCCATTCAGCAAACATTAAGATCAAATTTAAATGTAATGAGGAAAAAGTGTCTTTGCCACAGTGTTGACTTGATCTTCTATAAGACTTGTCTAGCATCACAGTATTTACTGGTAGATCTATACGACTTGTCTAGTGACACAGTATTTACTGATAGATCTATAAGACTTGTCTAGTGTCACAGTATTAACTGGTAGATCTATAACACTTGTCTAGCATCACAGTATTTACTGGTAGATCTATAAGACTTGTCTAGTGTCACAGTATTTACTGGTAGATCTATAACACTTGTCTAGTGTCACAGTATTTACTGGTAGATCTATAAGACTTGTCTAGCATCACAGTATTAACTGATAGATCTATAACACTTGTCTAGTGTACCAGTATTTACTGGTAGATCTATAAGACTTGTCTAGTGTCACAGTATTAACTGATAGATCTATAACACTTGTCTAGTGTACCAGTATTTACTGGTAGATCTATAAGACTTGTCTAGCATCACAGTATTAACTGATCGATCTATAACACTTGTCTAGTGTACCAGTATTTACTGGTAGATCTATAAGACTTGTCTAGGGTCACAGTGTTTACTGGTAGATCTATAAGACTTGTCTAGTGCCTCAGTATTTACTGGTGGATCTATAAGACTTGTCTAGTGTCACAGTATTTACTGGTAGATCTATCAGACTTGTCTAGTGTCACAGTGTTTACTGGTAGATCTATAAGACTTGTCTAGTGCCTCAGTATTTACTGGTAGATCTATAAGACTTGTCTAGTGTCACAGTATTTACTGGTAGATCTATAAGACTTGTCTAGTGTCACAGTATTTACTGGTAGATCTATAAGACTTGTCTAGTGTCACAGTGTTTACTGGTAGATCTATAAGACTTGTCTAGTGTCACAGTACTTACTGGTAGATCTATCAAGACTTGTCTAGTGTCACAGTATTGATTAGATGATCATTGTCTTATAATTTTTTTTATCTCATGACACATTATAGCAGTGCTGAAATCATTTAACGTGAAAAGTGTAGAGAAGGGGATTTGAGCAGGGAGAGGATTGGATTACAATATATGTGTAGTATTTTATAGTTAAGTATTGCCATATACTGTATTTTATGATACATCATGTGTCCTTATACTGTATTATGTGGAGTTGGTGTCAGCTGGTCGGGTGTGGTAGTGAGGAGCCGTATGGTGACTCGTCTAACAGATGTTTCACTGTAAACCACATGTTACCTAGCCAGTCAAACCTTAAACAAAATGGATTACAGGTTCTTTGTAATATCAATACTTGTATCGAAAAATTCTGTTTTAATGCATATGCTGCACGTGTCATAAAATGGTGTCCTTTTCAAACTAAATAGGGTTGTTTTGCATTGCTCAAATGGAATTATTGAAAAAATGTGGGGCTTTTTTGAAATTTTATGCTTTTGTTTTAATAATCATACTTTCGCCTTTATCAGACCCTGTTCATGATTAGCATGCAATTTAGTTATTGATAGATCTATGTGTATTTTGGATTTATTAATAATAAACTAACATTTCCTTCACTTTATGTTTTTCAGGTGCAATTGATACCCAATCAACAAATATGGCTTCACCCACACCTTCACAGAGTGACACGACGACTTCGGCGTCAACTACGTCAAATTCATCCGACAGCGAGATGGGCGAGACGACAGGGCCCAACACTCGATGCTCCATCTGCCATGAAACCTTCACCATCCCTAAGGTGCTAAGCTGCTTCCACACATTCTGTCAGCCCTGCCTGGAGAAACAGCAGGAGGTTGCAGACAAGGTCAGCTGCTCTGAATGTCACCAGGACACTTTCCTGGGCGGTCAGGGGTTGACTGGTCTCCTGCCGGACTACGCGGTCAGCAATTTGTTAGAAACAAATGCTCTGGACACAAGTGCCTTACATTGCACAGGCTGCAAGAGCAAGGACCTCAATGCAGTAGCCCGCTGCTTTGACTGTGCTAACTTCCTGTGCGCCAACTGTGTGATGGCTCACCAGTTTATGCATTGTTTCGAGGGTCACAGAGTGGCAAGTCTGAGCGAGCTGCAGGGCAACAAAGAAGACAGTGGGAACAAGACGGAGAAACCCATCTACTGTCCACGTCACAAGACTGACGTACTTAAGTTTTATTGCAAGACATGTTCGCAGCCAATCTGTAAGGAGTGCACAGTGTTCGACCATGGCCGCGGGCATGACTGCCAGTTCATCATGGACATCGGAGAGCGACAGATGGATCAGTTGAGAAGCCTTGACGAAGATGCCAAGGGCAAAATCACTGAGCTGCGGACATCAGCCAAGGGAATCGAACATATGTCCAGCAGGTTACAAGTCCAGTACCACAAGGCACAGAATGACATAAATGACACTTACAACTTCTATCGCGCAATGATTGAGGAGCGCAAGCAAGAGTGTCTGAAGGAGCTGGATCAGGTGTTCAATACCAAGCAGGTGTCCATCAGTACACTAGCTCAGAAGATTCAGGAGAACATCGACAGGCTCTACCAGGGATGTGAGTTTGTTGATAAAGTCCTCAAATTTGCCAGCATCACCGAAGCATTGTTGTTCAAGAATCTAGTGGAACAGAGATTCCAGAACATGTTCAACTTTAGCCCAGACATGGATAATCAGGCCTACTTTGACATGGAGTTTGTGTCCAACTTCCAGGCCATCACCACCGGAGTGCGCAACACCTTCGGGTACATACGCGAGGGTGAAGACATGATAGCTCCAGTCCAGAAACAACAGCCCATTGCTCGACCAAATGGCATTGTCACCCAGACCCCAGTTCTCACTAATGGTCACATCTTCGAGCCTCCACCGATGACCAAGAGCGAGTTTGGTTCGTCCAACAGTCTGATCTTCCCACCGTCTGATACAAGCATGTATGAGAAATGGTCTGTAGGTCTGGACATCTTTCAAAATGGCGTTGATGTATTCTCCACAAGCAGTGACCCTCTCTTCGATCTGACATCCAAGATGAACATGACGAGTCTTTATCCACCGAAATCCCAGATCAAACGTCAGAAGATGATCTACCACTGTAAGTTTGGCGAGTTTGGTGTGATGGAGGGACAGTTCACCGAGCCCAGTGGAGTCTCTGTCAACGCTCAAAACGACATCATTGTCGCAGACACCAACAACCATCGCATTCAGATCTTCGACAAGGAGGGCCGATTCAAATTCCAGTTTGGTGAATGTGGAAAGAGAGATGGACAACTGCTGTATCCTAACAGAGTTGCAGTTGTCCAGTCGTCTGGTGACATCATCGTGACGGAGAGAAGCCCCACCCATCAGATCCAGATCTACAACCAATATGGACAGTTTGTCCGTAAGTTTGGTGCCAACATTCTCCAGCACCCTCGAGGAGTCACTGTAGATAACAAAGGTCGCATTGTTATCGTGGAGTGCAAGGTGATGAGGGTGATAATCTTCGACCAGTATGGAAACGTCCTACACAAGTTTGGCTGCTCAAAACACTTAGAATTCCCCAATGGCGTAGTCGTCAACGATAAGGAAGAGATCTTCATCAGTGACAACCGTGCTCACTGCGTTAAAGTCTTCAACTACCAGGGAGTGTTCCTGCGACAGATAGGTGGCGAAGGCATCACAAACTATCCTATTGGCGTCGGGATCAACGGTCAAGGTGACATTCTAGTAGCTGACAATCACAACAACTTCAATCTGACCATCTTCACTCAGGAGGGCCAGCTTATCAACGCCCTGGAAAGCAAGGTGAAGCATGCTCAGTGCTTTGACGTTGCCCTCATGGATGATGGATCCGTGGTCTTAGCCAGCAAGGACTACCGGCTCTACATCTACCGCTACTCACAGATACCGGGCATGGGCATGTGACTAGACTGGGAGGCCGGACCAGACCGGGACGAGCGTCTGTTTCAGCATTTAATGAGCACCCGCCCACCTTGCACATAAGTGGTTGTTGTTTTGGGATTGCCTGGTTGTCGGACTGATCCGGATCGTTAAAGAGTTTGGTTAGTTTGGAGATGAAGCAAGAAATCCTACTTAGGATGGAACAGAACAGAAGACTGCCCCGTTTTATGGCTGCCATATATATTGTTTACAATGTTATGACCGAGATGACAGAGTTGTCGGCTTTGGTTGAAATGTGACGTTGATTTCATATGATTGTATACGACTGCTTCAGCAAGCAAGCATTTTTGGATGACTATTATTTGTTATTGCGTGTGCTTGTCAACACGTAAATCTGGAATGTGATTCCGCAGAATTTACTCAGCAGTAACGACACTAGTCAGACATTTTCTATCACATGACGGCCTCCGTCTACGCGGAACTAAGTCTGGTCATGTCTATTGTGTTGCTATGACAACAATCGTCATATCATGCCAGATTATTGGGTCCTAGTTAATATTGTGTCGCTGCATCAGCCCAGCAGTCCCATTGGTGGGGAATTGTTATTTTTTATTATCCTTTATTATGTTGTTTCTGCATGGCCATCATATAAAACATTTAAAATCAGTATTCACATCACCCGGCTACACCTTTGAGATCGCTGTGCTGATGTGGCTGCAAAAAATCCCTACAGGAAAGGAAAAACATAGTTTCTCCTTTTCTTTTTATACTAATTTATTGAAAAAGAAATGTGAAAAATATTTTTTCTGCAAAAGAGAAATGTGAAAACCAAAGGGTCACCCGACTGTATCATCGTTGTCAACTGCTAATAAGCTTCTTGCCTGAACAAAACTTTTATCGTCTTTTTTTCTCTTGGCTTTCTTTCTTCACATTAATTTTACACTTTAAATTTCGGGAAAATGGCGTTCTGTTTCTAGAGCTGGAAATTTAGAAGTTTCCAATGATGGATACATAATCGATGCCATCAAAGAACTTTTCAAGGCCAGCAGACGACAGTTGATGCACGGGCCCCTTCTGCTGTACTGATGTGATAGCCATGTTGTGGCATTGTTCCTTAGTTACTCTGTTCCCTCTCAATTTGACCAGATTATTTAATTATGCTTTGTAAAGGTTTTTCAGTGTTATTTAATTTGTAGTTTAGTATATATATATAGCGTTGAAATATTCTCATGTTGTCCTAGATTTCTATATATAGTTGTTTGGTTTGGTTATAATTGTTTTCCCGCCTTGTTTAATATTTGACCCCCTGATTTTTGTTGTTGTTGTTGTTTTCCCCTTTTTTATGATATTATAATTGGTTGCTGGTTCTCTGTTAGGTCACTGTTCTGCCACAGTGACGTGTTGCTGTCATGGCTACCTCAAATGATACTGTATTTATATACAAGTAGATCAAAACTTCATAGCAGTCAAAACAGGTGGAATAATTGTTTTCGTTTAAATATTTATGTATTATGTCAAAAAAAAGTTTTTGATCAGAAAAGAGTTGAAAGGGAGATCAATATTCTATTGAAGAAAAATGCCAAAATGTTAACATACATTCGTAAGTTCACCGTTCTTCTTATACAATGAGGAATATAAAGGTTATTGTATGTTAACACAGTTTTCTCATATCTCCTTAATTGGTATTGAAATGATACCAGTAAAATAAAGGTTGTTTAATATCTCCGACACTAAGGGTTTACAACATTGTTTGATAATATTTTGGTCAATGGTGAAAAACAATATAAAATTTATGATTGTGTATAGCTTCTTGGCATAATATTATTTTTTCTCTTTTATTTTATTTATGAAAAACAAAAGACTATTATTAAGAAAGAAGAGTTTATGCCTGCAGACAAGGGTTTTGCATATTTTATTGTAGAAAGTGAAACATAGGAGTTCCGAATATATTTCGTATTCAAGTTTTTAATGTTTTTTGTACCAATGTACCGAGATGTTGTGTTTTCACCAATTAAAGTTAAGCTTTACTAAACAGCACACAATCTGCTGGAGTATTTCATGCAAGTTGGTTTTTTTCCCGAGAGATATCGTGATTTCGTATTGTATTTTTATACTACCTGAGATTTTTTTGTATGTCTTTATTATCTGGTCACAAGGAGTTTTGTACTCTATGTTCTAGGTGTTGTGTGCGACGTAGCTGTGTTAGTTAGTCCGAGACAAACTGGTACGACGGCCAAAATGATACCTCGCCATGTTTGTCTCTATATATAGAGAGCCACGCTCATTGGTCCATATCTTACGCTGGAGAATGTGGATGTAGTGTTGTAGGCTGTCAACAAAAGGGTTTGCTCCGTTTATAGACCAAATTGTTTTTTCTACTGAAAAGGAAAACTTAATTAAGAAGTTTTATTAAGTATTTGATAATATTATTTAGATACTAGTTATAAGCGTATTCCTATTTCTTCCATTTGCATGTAACACTGGGAAGTTGTTCTCTAGGTTTACATGACATGCCTCTTAAGTCCAAAAGTGAACTTTTTTCAAAATCAAAATAGATGTTGATTACAAGCATTATGAGAGTTATTGTGGGACTGGATGTTAGCTGTTACCTAGGTGTATTTTGAGTTATTTTATTGTGTACATTCGTGCAAATTGATACAATTTCTATGGGGAACTGTTGCACAAGAAGTCCTCTCTTGCCCAATATTATGTAGCTTGTCTAGTTATGCTTTATTTTGTTGGAAGTGTGTGGGTTCACAACCTCCACCAATATCCACAAATAGATATTCCTCTCAGCAAATCATGAACAAAGTGATTATGGGGTGAAACTATTTGTTATCATCTTGTTGGGGTTTAATGTCTTATAATAAGAAGGGAAAAGTAGGCTGGATTATACAGATCGTGTCAGAAGAAAAGATTAACATAAATTATCACCAAATTTCCACATGCATGTGGTTATACCGTTTTCATTATCAGAATTTATTAAATGATCATGGTTTTGATATTTGAAGAAAGAAAGAAAAAAATAGTTGTTTAATTTTGATTCGAGTACTCGTTCCCGTTATAAGTGCTTTTCTCACTAACTGAAGATGATTTTGCCATTTAATGTGTAAGTGTTCAAAAGTATGAATTATTTTTCTAAGTATGTTAACCGTTATATAGGGGAGAAGTGTTGACCAAACCGTTATCAAATATACCACGGTGTCTTCCTATCTGTATGCATGTGTTTATCCAACCCTTACTCTGTGTCTTGGACCAGTCCACTGAGAGTTTACCTGCTCCGATGGACTGTTCCACTGTCATGAATAGTGGGGATGGATGGATATGCAATCATAACTGTTCGTTGTTGTTTTAAGCTGTTATGAGAATGCATAAGCATGAATAGGCCTTAATTTGTAAAAAAAAAAGGAAAAAACTATTAAGAAAAAAAATACAAAGAAAACTGTTTTTGCTTGTTCACTGTCATTTTGATATCATTATCCATGTTGCTATGTGAATTTTCTGTTGAGATTCCCAGCTACGGGTAGAGAGATCAGGGTTTGCTGTTCTCTTATATTGTTTGGCCCCATCTCGCTACCCGGCCAAGCGGGCTTGTTACAAATTTTACCTGTGTAGACGATGCATTATGTGGTAAGAAACGGTGCTGAAGCCACCATGAGTATAATCACCAATTCCTCTTCTCATTTTTTATATGAAATGAAAACAAAATTCACTCACCAAATTCATGCATGCATTGGAAAAGCCCGGTCTTTTATTGAAATGTTCCATCCTCATTTTCACTGTTGTCATCAAGTTCATCCCAATGTGTGATTGCCTTATGCATTGTCTAAAACGACCACTTTATATTCTGGTATTTTGTAAATGCGTTGTTTAGCTTTGTGTGTATGCTTTAAATGTTTGGTAGCTGTCCGACATATTTTCTGTCTGGTTATCAATAACATGGTTAACAGTTGTTTTTTTTTCTAACAAAATCCACAAAATCTATATAAGAAATAAAACAAACCTTGTTATCTCCCTCGTTAACATGTAGCGTTAAATTGTTAATTTTCTACTATTAGTGCTAAACATAGAGTTGTCTCGTCTTATCTTCAACGGCCCTTGGAAGAATGGTCTTGAGTGCAGACTTTGAAATTGTTTCATATGCGATCATTTATTTCAGATTTAGAATTTTTACAACCAACTCCTGACTCTTCGATGTGCATTTGTCATCAAAGTGTTGCTACCTTAGATAGTACATTCCCCATAGTTACACGTCCTTGTTACCGTGGTGATTAGTTGTCACCACTATTCATCATTATCCAGCCATGTTTTTGTGCATTGGTAGATTTTTGTATACACAAATGCTCACAGTATAATCCCGAGATTTTACAAGAAATATTTGCCTCAGTCGACTTCAACCCCTTTTGTTTATTATAATAATTTATTTTGCAATTTGTTGATCTAGAACCACCTCATTTGTTATGTAAAGTTCCCCAGAATATCCCAATCCTAAGTTATCTCCCTTTGACAGTTCGTCTCGATAGGTGTGTAGAACTTGATGAATGACCTCCCCTGTAAATAAATTGTGAGATGTTCACCTAAAGTCTGGTCAAGACAGAGAGACAACGTCCAGCTTTTGTTTATATTTAATGTAAAGTGACCACATAAAATCGTATGTTGTATGTCTGTTGCTAACATTATTTACAGAAAGTGCCATTATTTAAAGTAATTTCTTGGTTTGTTCCTCTTTGTTGCCTGTTATTGTTTGTGTGTACCTATACCTGTGGGTGATAAGTGTTGGTGGGTCGTTGTTGTGGGTTCCTGTAATGCTGATATCATGTCTCTTTGTCCTAGTATACACTGTGATGATGCCTGCATGTATATGTAGCCAGCCCTGGAGCCAGTGTTCGTTTAGTGTCTGTGATCTAAGTCAGTTATAGTCCACATTGAGTTCTAGTACATTTTTAACTAATTGATTTATTGATTATTTGGTTGACTTACCACAGGTGTAGCTATATGTTAAAACAAGGCCCATGTTAGATATTTTACAAACAGACATAAAACCCATGCAAAATCAGCCGTCATCACCACTCTGTTGAGTCTGTGTTCATCCCATGCGTTGTTATCCCATCACACTAAAGCAATATATTGTTATCCTCATAAACTACAATCATGGCCGGATGCAGTGTTACGTAGTTTTATAAGTCCCTGGATGTGCTCTAACGTGGGTAGATGACTTACTCTAGCTGGTCCATTTCCTGTATCCCCATCAATTACTTAATTCAGTACAAATGTACCACAACAAATTACTTCTTTTTCAACGCATTGTCCGTGTGATTTTATTCACATTATTAAAATATAAAAGGGGATTAAATTGTAGTTTGTTCAAGAACAAAAATTACTGACAGCTTTCAGCAATGTTTTTCTTAACCAGTTAAAAAAAAATCTTAAGTTAACCTGAACCGACTTGTCATACCTGTAATTCTGATTCAATAATCTATTTAAATTAATAATATTTAATTTAATTTTTTTAGTTACAAATAAATTGATGTTACTTGGTCAAAGAAATTATGTGTATATGAATTGTGAATAGGCATGTTTTGAATGTAAAGAGATTTTTTAATCAACATTGTGAATGGCACTGGGCATTGATAATTTTGGTGTATATTATGTATAAAGGCTAGCATGTCAAATTTTGTACATGGTAGATGGATTGCATGTTGTATATTTTATTATTAAAACAAATTGTTATTTTGGGGAGTTATCTTTAAAGTCCAATTTGACTTTGAGAGAGATCTGTATAGTATCTGAAAGGAAATTTATGTTTAATAGCTGTTGGTAGGCTTCATCTGGACAAGACTCAATCTTGTCTTTCTTTTGAGTTTTCAATTTTGACATGGCTTTTGTGGATCTTGTAGAGATGTGCAGCATGGAAGAAATTTTACCAGAGCTATGTAGGGCAGATATTGTTGAAATGAAGTTAATGTTAGGTTTGGTGCAGCAAAGTTGTGGGTTAAAAAAATAAAACACTATTAAAAAAATTAACAAAAATATATTGTTGATTGTTGAGCGAAAGGTCCAATAGTGGTAGGTTTGAACCCGTACTATTTTTTGCATGATATGGAATCATTGAATTTACATAAATGTTGCCTTTGACAATATGTTGCAATGTTTGTTTGGTTTTTTTTTTTTTTTTTTTTTTTTTTAAAAATNCCAGCTAGTGTTACTAATGATTCAAATACAAAACATAATCATGTGTTTTCTTATTCTCAATACTGGGAACAAGGGTGTGGTTCCTGGTGTGGGTGTTGTATGTTACTCTATGGTCTGCTTCACATTCTCAATTTGTGCTGTTGACATAAGGGGCCTTGTTACCATAGTTATATGAACAATTCATGGAATTTATTTTCCAAACCTGCCAAAAACAAGTTGGATCTAAATATGATGGTTATCTTTTTGTCTTGTGCTCGTCAGGAGGACGGTTTCCATATGACTGTATATCTACAGATATATATATAAAACACATAATATATTTAGGTAGTTACAAGTTGTTGTGTGATCATTGTTTGTCAAACATTATCAATATTAAGTGTTGTTTTTTAGGCTTCATTCCGATTTAACTTCAAGATATATTATCTAGGAAAGGGGAAATGCCAGGCTTAACAGAAGAGCTCAGGTTTTGTCCAGGCTTAACAAAGAGCTCAGGTTTTGTCCAGGCTTAACAGAGAGCTCAGATTTTGTCCAGGCTTAACAAAGAGCTCAGGTTTTGTAGAATTTTCTTTGGTTTGCCTTTTTTCTGTTTTTGATGGAAAGAAATTTCAAGTATTTTTAATGATATTATCGCTTACTTTTTTTTTAATCCAGAAGTATTTTGAAAAGGTATATATGCTGATGTTACCACATGACAAAAATATGGAGAAAAATAATCAAATTTGATGATGGCACTAGCATTGAATGCAGAAAATGTATGAATTTTGTACCCTTTTGTAGTATTTTGTAATCATTGAACTTCTTGGAATGGAGGTGTATAGTAATACTCAAGAAAGTGTTGACTTGCAATTTGTTGGTTGTTAGATTCAAATATCAGTCATTATCAAAAATAAATGTTAAGCAATACAAATCACATAAAACTGGAGATATTTGTAGGTTCGACCTTAGCCTCATATTATATACTTATTCATGAAAATTGTTTTTAGGTATGAACAATGTTAAATAAAATGATTGTTACAAATTTAAATGGGCAAATTCCCTAATCGATTCTATGTTTGTTTCAAAAGTGTGGGAGAAATTTACTTTTGAGTGACAGTTTTTGAATTTTTTTAAAACTTGATTTTTTTTTAAGTGTATGTTCAGGCCAGTTATGTAAAAAAGTATTTGCTCTGCAGATTAAATATTAAATTTACTCTTATTTTCTAATTAAAAACAATATATTGGGTTAATGAAAGCCTTTTACTTAATCTTAGATGTTTGTTACCCATACAGACCTGTAATTGCTCACGGTTAAAAGACTTCAGTCAAAAGAATAGGAAACCTCATGCGGACCTTGTGCCCAGACACGTTTTGACCAAAAGATGTTCAGACTAGTGTCGGCTTACAAACATACCAATTCTTACATTATAGTTGGTTATTATTACCTATTATTATTATTATTATTATTATTATATATACTTTTTTTCATGTTGACCCATATTAATCTGTTGTTCACAAATTATCAAATATAGTGTCTGCTTTGTTTTTCTTTTCCTTTTTTGTTTTGTCTAACAATGAATTAATAAATAGTTTAGAAAGAAACTGCATGAAGTGAATATTAAACAAAAAATAAAACAAACAAAAAAAATAAACATTTTTTATTGCCAATGTATTTAAATATGTTATATATCTGTTCTTAGATTTTTCTTGAATGTTAAGTTTTTACTGGTACTGTATCCACAATTTTGAATTATTCACATTTTGTTAACTAGCATTTAGAGTGAGTGCCAGCCATGTTTTAATGGAAGTGTTGTATAAACGTTCACATTATCAGGAATTTGTAGATTGCCTTTGTTTTTGCTTATATCCCTTGATTAGTTTAAAACAACTCCCCCTTCCCCACCTTCAAATTTGACATCAGAATGCGACATTTCCCAGGATGTAATTGGGGCCTATCCAAGATACTCTCGATTAACCTGTGTTGAATGCTACGAGGAATTCCTTAGAGCCAAACCCAGGTATACTGTTGAGTAATCATGTTGACCTCCTCGCAAGTTCCTAGGGGTCAGACCTAGATACCTTGGAGTAGCTGTACTGATTTTACTAGGAGGTACTACAGGGGCTATGGGCGGATATTCTGGAGTAACCTGTGTCAACATCAAAAGGAAGTAGTCGGTTCATGTCCCTGGGAGGTCCTTTGGGCTGGACTCTGACACACTGTAACAGTTCATGTCCCTGGGAGGTCCTTTGGGCTGGACTCTGACACTCAGTAACAGTTCATGTCCCTGGGAGGTCCTTTGGGCTGGACTGGGACACCTAGTAGGATAGTAGCCAGTTTATGTCCCTCAGTGGTCCTGTGGGCTCCGTAGCCTGTTAATGTCGCCTTGACTTACTGCCTGTGTTGATGTCATTAGTTCAGCTACATGAGGTCCTATTGGTCAAGCCCAGACACTCTTTGCGTATCTTATTTATGTCCCTGGGAGGTCCTTAGGGCCAGACTTGGACATCCTGTAGCCTGTTGATGTCACTAGGTGTCTGGGGTCGCCCCCTGATTTGACTGTCTTTGTTGATGCTGTAGATGTGTGTGGGGAGTCCCTTGTCTGTTGTGTGCCTTTGTAATAGTAGTTTAGAACCCTCCCCACCGCAGTAGATACGTACACCCTCAACACGTTATCCTATATATACACCAAACAGTTTGAAATTTTAAGCTTGTCATTTGATATAAGTATTTTGTATGGAGGAAATACACTTTTCTTTGCAATAAATGAGTGTTTAGAATTTTTAAGGTAAAGACAAAAAAAAATCTTCCTATGATTATTTTAGAATGCTGTTGATCTTGAAAAATATCCCATTAAAACAGAAATTAATGTAGTGTGAAAGTCTTGCATCCAAATTAAGCTGATTCCACCAAGAACTCTTTGACAAATTTGTAGTCACTATGGAAACGAGGGGTACTGAACAAGGGTGGCTATGGAATATCCCTCATTTAAGTGTACAAATAAACAGTAATATATTAACTGCTTTCATTATTAGCATATTTAGTCATCCATGATATTGATTTATCTTTGTTAAGTTTTATTATTTATTCATAATTTAAATAATACTTATGTACATACTTATTTAGTCGTCTCAACAATGTAGTTTCATCTTGGTCTGACCCTTATATTCGTTCCACTTGGTAATGTGATGCTGGTTTAGCAATACATTAGGTACCATTCATTTACCCCCTTGTTAGTATGATATCGGTTAAAATTACACAAAAATTCAATTCAAATATAATTTCTATTTCGAATCTCATTTTAAGATTGTGGAAAGTAACAACAAATACACATGATATCTTCAGAATCCAGTCCTGATATTCAAATCTATTTAAAAAATATCTGCAACTAAAATGATGAGATACCATTATTACCAAGTGTTGAGCCATGTATGTTGTACAGTAAGAACCTCGTTTCCACGATGACCAAATCGTCACTGCGACATTGATAAATCTAGGACAAGTTTACGATAACAACTAGATATCATTCTGTGATCATTTGAGCGGTGTGATCCGAGATCATGACATCAGTTGAGGTCATTACGCCCCTATGCCAAAGTATCTTGATAGATCTGAACCTTGATATACCAAGCTTTTGTTAATGACGACAATGTCAAAATCTCAATATTTTATGAAATAAACATAACGACAAAAAATAAATATGCAAATTCTGGATATGTACTTGTGCTTATGCCTATGACTAGGGATAAAATTGATTTTAATAATTTTCCCATTAATAAGCTTGGTACAGCTGAAATGTTATGATACTTTAATAGGTAGTACATATGTAATGTTTATTTAGAAATGCTAGACTTGGATGCAAGACTACTAATGAAGACCTACTTTAGGGGGATAGTTGGTGGCGCCATTACTGTATGATTATGTTGGTCAGTAAGAGCATATCTGTACATGTTCTTATATTTATATAGATTGTAGTCTCTATAGTTAGCCTTGTAGTTGTACCATGGATCTATCGTCAACGCAGTACAACCATTTCTACTCAACAAAACAATCCTTTCAAGTCCCAATAGATGGTCATTAAAAACCTAATGTTTGCTTTCATTTAAGTTGCACTAAACTCTTTTTTTTTTGAATTTATGGTTAAACATTTCTAAATAGAAGTTTTATGTGTGCAGCCAAGTGACTTATCTACTACACCATTGTATAAGTAAAGAGAATCTTAATATTTACAATCATGAAAAAAATGCATTAATCATCTCTAGAATTAGATACTGAAAATCATCATTATGAACCTCCGAAAATATCATTGTAAGAGAGTGAATCAAACTTCTGTGACCAAAGAGAGCAAAATAATTATGGTGCTTCAAGATTTGAACCGGTTATTCAGTTTCCTCAAGGTAGAATAGGGATTGCACTGTTTTATCATCTCATTGGTCAATTTTTTTTTTCCATATTTCATTTTTTCCTGCCAGTTGACAAATATATCTTCATGAAGTAAAATCGTTACTCTTCCAGTAAATATTTGCCAAAATGTTCTACATTATAAAGTTTTTGAGAATATTACATACTGAAATTGAATTTTTTTAACGAAATATCACTTGGCTGCACACACACCCAAAAGGATAATAACTCTGGGTTTACTGCAGAAATGACTACTCCACAAAAAATCATAGTTTCAACAAAATTTAGAAATAATTTATATGATAAATAGTGATGAGAATAAGATGTCTAATGAATCTGGTTGGCTGTAGTAAGAATTTGCTGTTCTATCCAGTTGTGTTTATCTGTTGTTATGATCAGTTTGTGTATCTACCCTGGGCCAGTCTCTAGTTAATACATCAGGACACTCTAGTTAACACATCAGGACAGAACTGTTATGTTGCTTTTTATCACATTCCAAGGTTAATAATTTCTCAAACACAGTTGTTAGCGGCTAATGTTTAAAACATTGCATAGTAATTACTTATTTTAAAAAACACAAATCCCATCTGTTGCTATTGTTTTTCACAATATGACAAAAATCTTGTTACTTAAAATAATTTTTAAATTGAAAAAAAAAAAAATCATAATCAATATAAGGTGCTTTTGACTTATTTTTCAGTGTGTGCATGTGTTTATACAAAAGTTTTTCATAAAAAAGTTTTTAATAAGTGTTGCTCCTTAGGTTTTTTGAAATGGAAAATAGGTGTAGAGTAGATGATAATTTGTATGGGATGATGTGTGAATTTTCTGTCAGTTTTACTGTAATGACCTGTGGAGTGGGGCAGTACCCATGTCACTTAACAGGTACTCCCTCCCTTCATGACGAAAACGAGTTTGTAAAATTACTTGCCTCTTTCTGCGTCTGTTAGGTCTGCAAGACGGCAGTGTTTGCCAGGCACTGAACCAGGGAGTGGCATATTGTATATGCATGCATGTATGAAGAACTATTAACTCAGTAGAAAAATAATATAAGAGGCTACATGCATAGTATTTTTTGAGGGGACTATTTCAACCCCACCATGCAATAGGTATAGCAGCCCTTTCTCCCTCCCACAGGAACTGCATGCCTACAAGTTGGGTATGACCCCGAGTACAATATATATATATATATATATAATTAGCCTTGATCTCTATGTTGATTGATGAACTGATGGTTCTGTGTTAACTTATATATATTTGACAAACTGTACAACGGTAATTCATTTTTATTGTCTATTCACACGTTTTGTTATGAGTGTAAACTGAATGGTATTCAATAAAGTATTTTGTTTGCTTCCAAAAATTTGTTTTGATTGTGTTTGCTTAAATATCTGGAGTGGACTTTATTGTCCACCATGATAAAATATCTAACTCATTCATCCCTGAAAAACACATGAACTCTTCCAATTCATAGTTTGGATAGTTAATTAGGAAATTGCAGGGGTGAATGAGTCGATAAATATCTGCAGTGGACTTGACTGTCCTCTGTTAATAAATATCTGCAGTGGACTTGACTGTCCTCCGTTAATAAATATCAGACCCACGGTTTGTACAAAATTGGTTCTCCTTCACCCAAGGATGCTTCAGACCAAATATGGAACAAATCCTTTCATTCCTACAGAAGTAGAAGAATTTTACAGAATTGGCTATGTTTCCCATATTGGTCCCACGGTTTATACAAAATTGGTTCCTCTTTAGCCAAGGATGCTTCAGACCAAATATGGAACAAATCCCTTCATTCCTACAGAGTGCCAGACCCACAGTTTATACAAAAATATTTACATTTCCACTGCACAGAGCCTAGATATTTCTACTGGGACCAATGTTTGTTTTTTCTGTATAACATACATTGGGCCATTGTGACGTCACTACGCTTATGACGTCATAACTGTAACGTTGGAGATCCCACTGCTCCACTGTTAACTGGTGGCTGTTCTCTGTATGCATCTACCCTGACGTTGAAACGTGTTCAGACTAATATTATGTCTTTTTATTTCTGCGTTAACTGTAAGTTGATCAACATAAAATGTAAATATAAGTATTAGTTGTCATAATTTTGACATGCATTGGTGTGCAACATACCAACCATGTCAAAAATATGACAACCAATGCAATCCTTTATTGGTTCCCCTTCACCGAAGGATGCTTTAGACCAAATATTTAACAAATCCTTTCATTCCTACAGAAGGATTTTAAAGAATTTGCTATGTTTCCCCTATTGGGCCCACGGTTTATACAAAATTGGTTCCCCTTTACCCAAGGATGCTTCAGACCAAATATGGAACAAATCGCTTCATTCCTACAGAAGAAGATGGATTTTTAAGAATTTACTATGTGTTCCCTATTGGGCCCCGCCCCTCGGGGGCCAGACCAACGGTTTATACAAAATTGGTTCCCCTTCATCCAAGGATGCTTCAGACCAAATATGGAACAAATCCTTTCATTCCTACAGAAGAAAGATTTTAAAGAATTTGCTATATCTCCCCTATTGGGCCCCGCCCCTCAGCCCCCAAGGGGGCCAGACCCAAATATGGTCAAAATCTGCTCAGTCGTTTACGACTGGTAACAATTTTTAGGAAAAGTTGACAGACGACGGATGCTGCGCCATGGCATGGCATAAGCTCACTTGCCCTTTGGGCAGGTAAGCTAAAAACAATGAAATGGTATTATCTCTGCAGTTTTAAACATTAATATAATGATTGAAATGCATCATTTTTACATTTACGATGGTATGCTACACATTTCCGTTAAAACATATTCTCCAAGATGTGTTTTTTACTGTGCATCTTGGAAACATGTGTTTCATATTATCATAAATGTTAAAAAGATTTATTTCAATCCTTAAATATTTGGAGTTGACTATTCATTATTGATGAATATTGTCACCGTTCCTGAGTGAACTGGACTGTTCATCATTCCTAAACATTGTGAGTTGACATAACTGTCCCTATGTACACATAGGATTGTAGGAATACAACTGTTTAGTCGATCAGTTTACAGCAGTATACTGTATAAGACCTATATTCTGAGATTGGAATAGACCTTCATCTACAAACCAATTGTAAAGCTGATGGTACTATTTTATTGTTTATTGTATATTTCTAGCAGTTCTTTACAGAATCGGTGGAGAGGAAATCCCATCACGTTGTAATAGTCCCCATAGATCCCTTCCACTATGGACGCTCCTATTGCCTGGACACCATAGCCACCTGCTTTATCCCTGTAAAATAAAATGACAATCTATTACTGAAAAAGCGAGCATCCAAGCAACTTTCTCTCCACTTGGATGTATCAATTATCACTTTTCCTGAAAAGTGGTTATTTGCTATTAAATGGGAGATAACTCTTGATATCAATGCCCCTCATCTGAATCTGAACACTACAATGTCCTCACAAGCAGCTAAGACATGTCTGTATCCCATACTGGGACCAAATAACTTCTGATATTTTTTTTAAAGTTCTCACTAAAGTTTAACATTCAAAGCTGGTGAAATAAACACTTCATTCTTACCTATCATAAAGATAAACACTCTGACCAGGTGTGCCAGTCTGTTCACACTTGTCAAAGCAACTAAAATGTAGACCATCAGAAATGTGCCATTTTGTTAACACCAGTCGCAAAAGTCTTAATTTTCAAATGAACAAACTGCCATCCCATGGTTATGATTCCAACCAAGTTTAAATATTCCTCATCGAAAATGTACAAGTGTTATTTCCCTATATAAATTATATTTTATCCCTTCTCTAAGAGGGAATTAATAATTCGAGGGTAATGAATTTCACAATTTTGATATAACACCTTAAGAGCCTTTTCTGTTTTTGATTCTAGAATATCTGGATCTGTAGAACAAGGTAGTTAAAATGTTAGCTTATCTGACCAGTTGCATGGGCCCCACTTCTGGGCATTGGGTTGAGATAGGTCTTTATTTTCATATCACCAACCAAGTTTAAATATTTTCAATTGGCTATGAAAGCTTCATGCATAATTTCAATAAGAAAAAAACAAAAATGGGAAAATAATAAGTCAAGTAATTTGAAGAATCCTGTAAATTTTTGTTTGAGATGGTGGAACATAGCTTTGCTTGAATAGTAAGGCATAGGTCTGATGGTCTGGACAGGGAACAGAAGCAGGGATAAACATACTAGTTAACTGCCCTAGGTCTGATGGTCTGGAAAGGGGACAGAAGCAGGGATAAACATACAAGTCAACTGCCCTAGGTCTGATGGTCTGGACAGGGAACTGAAGCAGGGATAAACATACAAATTAACTGCCCTAGGTCTGATGGTCTTGACAGGGAACAGAAGCAGGGATAAACATACAAGTCAACTGCCCTAGGTCTGATGGTCTGGACAGAGAACAGAAGCAGGGATAAACATACTAGTTAACTGCCCTAGGTCTGATGGTCTTGACAGGGAACAGAAGCAGGGATAAACATTCAAGTTAACTGCCCTAGGTCTGATGGTCTGGGCAGGGAACTGAAGCAGGGATAAACATACAAATTAACTGCCCTAGGTCTGATGGTCTTGACAGGGAACAGAAGCAGGGATAAACATACTAGTTAACTGCCCTAGGTCTGATGGTCTGGAAAGGAGACAAAAGCCGGGATAAACATACAAGTTAACTGCCATAGGTCTGATGGTCTGGACAGGGAACAGAACCAGGGATAAACATACAAGTTAACTGCCCTAAGCCTGATGGTCTGGACAGGAAACAGAAGCAGGGATAAACATACAAGTAAACTGCCCTAGGCCTGATGGTCTGGAAAGGGGACAGAAGCAGGGATAAACATTCAAGTTAACTGCCCTAGGCCTGATAGGCTGGAAAGGAGACGGGAGCAGGGTTAAACATACAAGTTAACTGCCCGGGGCCTGATGGTCTGGACAGGGGACAGAAGCAGGGATAAACATACAAGCTAACTGCCCTAGGCCTGATGGTATGGACAGGGAACAGAAGCAGGGATAAACATAAAAGTTAACTGCCCTGGGCCTGATGGTCTGGACAGGGGACAGAAGCAGGGATAAACATACAAGTTAACTGCCCTAGGCCTGATGGTCTGGAAAGGAGACAGAAGCAGGGATAAACATACAAGTTAACTGCCCTGGGCCTGATGGTCTGGACAGGGAACAGAAGCTGGGATAAACATACAAGTTAACTACCCTGGGCCTGATGGTCTGGACAGGGAACAGAAGCAGGGATAAACATACAAGTTAACTGCCCTAGGCCTGATGATCTGGACAGGGAACAGAACCAGGGATAAAGATACAAGTTAACTGCCCTAGGCCTGATGGTCTGGACAGGGAACAGAAGCAGGGATAAACATACAAGTTAACTGCCCTTGGCCTGATGGTCTGGACAGGGAACAGAAGCAGGGATAAACATACAAGTTGACTGCCCTAGGGCTGATGGTCTGGACAGAGAACAGAGGCAGGGATAAACATACAAGCTAACTGCCCTAGGTCTGATGGACTGGACAGAGAACAGAAGCAAGGATAAACATACAAGTTAAGTGCCCTAGGTCTGATGGTCTGAACAGAGAACTGAAGCCGGGATAAACATACAAGTTACCTGCCCTAGGCCTGATGGTCTGGACTGGGAACAGAAGCAGGGATAAACATACAAGCTAACTGCCCTAGGTCTGATTGTCTGGACAGGGAACAGAAGCAGGGATAAACATACAAGTTAACTGCCCTAGGTCTGATGGTCTGGACAGGGATTAGAAGCAGGGATAAACATACAAGTTAACTGCCCTAGGCCTGATGGTCTGGACTGGGAACAGAAGCAGGGATAAACATACAAGTTAACAGATTGTTTACTGAGAAAACTGAGACATTCATACTTACATGCATTCTCCAGTGTCTATATAGGCATTGACAATCTCTGGTGTTAATGTTGTCATCATCACATCTGTTGACTCATGAAACTGTGTGATCAACATGTTTTCAAAACCATTAACTTTTGATCCCGTAAAAACTGAAAATAGAAATATAAAGAATTTATTATTTTTTTCTTAATCAAAATATATTCAAGTAAATTACGAATTTGTTACAACATATTTCAGGTTATTTAGTATGCAGAGAAGCAGAAAATAACTTGATTATCTGAAAACTGTTTTGATTTTGAAATAGATGATAAGAACCAATAGAGATGAAATGGGCTTAATACAGGCAAAGGCAGTAATTGAGCTTTCTAAGGGGAAAAGTTTGCATTACACTGAAATCATGGAAAAGGCTGAAATCAGCCAAATCGCTGAAAATGTTAATCTTTGAACCAATTGAGGAAGAAGGTTAACTCTTCAAACCGTATCAATCAATTCAGAATGAAATGTTCATACATAATGTATATTTTATCAGATACATTTACCAGCCTACTGTCAAGATGCCTGATCGACCAACCTGTTGTATGGTGTCCTACCTGTAGATGGTGTGACCTACCTGTTGAAAGGTGTGACCTACCTGTTGACAGTGTGACTTACATGTTGACAGTGTGACCTACCTGTTGAATGGTGTGACCTACCTGTTGACAGTGTAACCTACCTGTAGATGGTGTGACCTACATGTATATGGTGTGACCTAGCTGTAAATGATGTAACCGACCTGTTGAAAGGTGTGACCTAGCTGTAAATGATGTAACCGACCTGTTGACAGTGTAACCTACCTGTTGAATGGTGTGACCTACCTGTTGACAGTGTAACCTACCTGTAGATGGTGTGACCTACATGTATATGGTGTGACCTAGCTGCAAATGATGTAACCGACCTGTAGATGGTGTGACCTACCTGTAGATGGTGTGACCTACCTGTTGACAGTGTAACCTACCTGTAGATGGTGTGACCTACATGTATATGGTGTGACCTAGCTGTAAAGGATGTAACTGACCTGTTGAAAGGTGAGACCTACCTGTTGACAGTGTGTCCTAGCTGTAGATGGTGTGACCTACACGTAGATGGTGACCTACCTGTAGATGGTGTGTCCTACCTGTAGATGGTGTGACCTACATGTAGATGGTATGACCTACATGTATATTGTGTGACCTACCTGTAAATGGTGTGACCTACCTGTAAATGATGTGACTGAACTTTAGAAAGGTGTGATCTACCTGTTGAATGGTGTGACCTACCTTATGACAGTGTGACCTAGCTGTAAATTATGTGCCTGATCTGTTGAAATGTTTGACCTGCCTGTAAATGGTGTGATTTATCTGTAGATGGTGTGACCTACCTGTAGATGGTGTGACCTACCTGTAGAGGATGCAACCTAAGTATACATGGTGTGATTTAGCTGTAGATGGTGTGACCTACCTGTTGAAGTTGTGACCTACCTGTAGATTGTGTGACCTAGCTGTAAATGGTGTGACCTACCTGTTGAAGATGTGACCTACCTGTAGATGGTGTGACCTACCTGTATATGGTGTGACCTACCTGTAGATGGTGTGACCTACCTTATGACAGTGTGACCTAGCTGTAAATTATGTGACTGATCTGTTGAAATGTTTGACCTTCCTGTAGATGGTGTGATTTATCTGTAGATGGTGTGACCTAGCTGTTGACAGTGTGACCTAGCTGTAGATGATGTGACCTACCTGTTGGTGATTTGACTTTACTGTAGATGGTGTGACCTACCTGTAGAGGGTGCAACCTAAGTATACATGGTGTGATTTAGCTGTAAATGGTGTGACCTACCTGTTGAAGTTGTGACCTACCTGTAGATTGTGTGACCTAGCTGTAAATGGTGTGACCTACCTGTTGAAGGTGTGACCTACCTGTAGATGGTGTGACCTACCTGTATATGGTGTGACCTACCTGTAGATGGTGTGACCTACCTGTAGATGGTGTGACATACCTGTAGATGGTTTGACTTACCTGTAGAAGTTGCAGGGCACACTAATGTAACACCAGTGCACACTGAATGTTTTCTGCCACTAAATCTGAAAATTACAAGTTGCAATAAAAACACAAGTTTACATGTACAAATGTCTTGTCACACAAAGAAAAATTATATAAATGAAATATGTGTACATACACAAATCTTTCTATGAAATAGGTGTATACAAGTTATTGAAATTTAAAGATGGGTACATATGAAATTATATAAAATGAATACTTGTAATTTGTATACAAACTATTTACAAAGCTACAATAGTTAATTATAATTACATTTGGACAAAGTTTTGTTCCATGGGGCAAAAGTTATACTACTGAATGCATCCAACAATATTGAAACTGTTCCAAGGGATAAAAGTTATATTACTGAACAAACTCAATCCAATAGAAACTGTTCCAAGGGATAAAAGATATATTACTGAACAAACTCAATCCAATAGAAACTGTTCCTAGGGATAAAAGTTATATTATTGAACAAACTCAATCCAATAGAAACTGTCCCTAGGGATAAAAGTTATATTACTGAACAAACTCAATCCAATAGAAACTGTTCACTAAACAATTATTACTCACCTCATTAACATATTGTATGCATCTTCGCGGTCTTTTGGTTTTTCAAATATTTGGTTATCTTGTGTTACCACAGTATCAGCACTGATTATCAAATCTGGTGATCCCTGATAATATCATTAAGTATTTCATGTTATTTAACCGAGGAATTATTAGTTTCAAAGTAACACTGTAATAGCTACTAGTATTCTACAGAAGATGTCAGATATACATCGGAGTAGGCTTGTTTGTTTATATTGTTATGAGCGATTATAGGTTTATAGGTTACAACAAGTTACACTAGACTATATTCAGATCTTTTAATTCTCCAACATGCTTTATTCTTAAAGTGGGCTTCACCGTAGTGGGGAGCTACCCTGGAAGGTTACACACTTTGGTACTTCTGTGATGACTCACCAACATATTACAACATCACTAAACTCTAAATAAAACATCAAACATATACATTGGTTACATGTACAGTAGATGATCTTGTGTTTGAGCATACACATTTGGACTTACATTAGTTTTGGATTAAATATTTTAATTATGTTAGCTTTAAACTCACTGTGAGTTGGCATTTTTATCCGCAAGATACAGGTCATTTAGACAGTGATCGCTGCTATTAAATTGAGATGTCATGACACAGAAACACTTACCGAGATGTCATGACACCGAAACACTTATTGAGATGTCATGACACAGAAACACTTATTGAGATGTAACATAGAAACACTTATTGAGATGTCATGACACAGAAACACTTACTGAGATGTCATGACACCGAAACACTTATTGAGATGTCATGACACAGAAACACTTATTTAGATGTCAAGACACAGAAACACTTATTGAGATGTCATGACACAGAAACACTTATTGAGATGTCATGACACAGAAACACTTACTGAGATGTCATGACACAGAAACACTTGTCGTACCGGTTCCGGTATGGCGATGAGCGGTCGATTCAAACGTTGCTACTGATTTTACATATTCTCAGAATGTGGGACGGAATTCCAAACATCTAACGAAGGAGTGTGTGTATCTGAGCTGATGTACCTTCTTCTCAAAATTGTGTAACATATTAATGTATGATATGTGCAGTATCTGACTGACTGAGATGTGTTTGCATGTATGTCGGCCATATTGATCGATCCTGTCAATCAGCTGTGCAAGCATCAACAGAACTTTAGCGCTGTCTACCTTATCATAGTAAGTGTGCTGATACCTATATCATAATCATTGGAGATTGCTAGTCCTTAATAACTAATAATGGGTAAGAAAAATAACCGTAATACTCAATCACAGTCAACCAGTGACGAGTCCAACCCTACGAAACGTCATTGTAGAGACGAAGATGATCTAGTTCTCAATGATCTTGATATTCTACTTAAGAGCATATCTGATGATGAAACAACAACAAGACGTGCTGTTGACATGATACTTGGTCATGATGTATTCAAGACTGCTATAACAGAATCATTATTTCCCATGATTGAAGCTATGCAAAATCAGATCTCCCTTCTTACTGACCGTATTGATGACATGGAGCAATACTCTAGAAGGACTTGCCTCAAATTCTCTGGCATCCCAGAGCAGCAAGGAGAAGACACTGACAAGTTAATTCTCAACGTTATTAACAAGCATGTTCNAAGAAATAAAAAAAATCTGAAATTATATAAATCTTCTCAGAAAAACAACAGGTGTAGAGTCTTCATTAATGAAGCTCTGACAAAACAAAGAGCAGCATTGTTCAAGAAAACAAGGGACCTTGTAAAAGATCACAAAATACTCAGCTGCTGGACCTATGATGGCAGGATAATGGTCAAAACTTTGCAGGAGAACATTGTTCAGGTGGCTCACGACAATGAACTTGAGAAATTCTTGAAGCTCAAAGTAAATGTAACTGGTACTATGCTGCCATCAGTATACACTGGTACTCGCTCTGGTGACCGGGTTCATAGACTCAATGCTAGTGCTGCTAGCTTTGCACCATTGAGTCCCTCTATGACTTCAACACCAGTACAGACCAAGTGACAGTCTTGTTGATCGTATATGTGCATAAATTATTGTGCATTCCAATTCTATAATTGATTTATAATCATGATTCACTATATCACTGCTCGTGTACCAGTACAACTGTGAATTTATATCATGGTGACTCATGTATTTGTATATACCATGTCTAGTTTGAACTGCTTAATCTGTTAATTTGATCATCTGATATAATCTTCCAACATATAGCTACCTGTACATGTACTTTCACATATTTATCCCCTGCTTGATCCTGAATTATAACAACAATTATTCTATATTTTCATAGGAACATGTAAGCAATGGAGCCATTTATTGTTGCAGTAAGTATACCGAGTTGTTGTTGATGATGCTTGTTGCCTACAAAAGAACTTACATTTTCATTGCTTTAAACTCTATGTGAAATTTTATTTATTGAAAATATTCCTGTAATGCTTATTCTATTATGAATTAATTCACTTATATTTACCTATAGCTACAATAGATTTGATCTATTTATACTATACAAATATATTATGAGTGCCCAATATCTCATTTTGCTTGGCTAGTTTTGCTTGATTATTTACGTTATGCATGAATTCTTACATTTTACATGTTCATGTGCTTATTTTGTTTTGTTTTTCAAATTTGCCTTGTTGAATCTTGTTGCTCATTTTCTTTCCCTATATTTATTCAACTTAAACACATTATCTATCTATAATTACAATAGCTCAGCTACTGCTGTAAATCCCTTACCAAAATAAGTAAGCTCGATAACTTGCCATTAACTATGGTTTGAAACCTAATCCATGTAATATATTATATAATATTTGTAACATTAGTAATCAATCTTTTATTTTGCATACTTAATTTAAGTAATCGTGTCTGGTATCATTACATGTAATTGCCTTTGAATAATCTTTATGCTTGACTAATAACTAGCAAGCAAGCCACTTAACTATTTTGCTTTATGTATATACATGCATGTATGGTAAACTATATATATACATATTATTAGCAACCAATATTTCAATTTGCTTGTGCTTCTCTAATTGCTTAACTTTTTGTGTCTTGCTTGTGTTCATTTTTTATTTTTATTTATTATATACTTAATTATTGATTCGTTTTCATGTTTATGTGCTATTTGTTATGATTGTTGTGTCTGCTCTTGATAAATCTTCTTGTTTTTTTTCTCGGGTTTTCATAAGGTATCTAACTCCATGTTATATTTGTCATTGGATACTTATATTTAAAAATAAATCTTTTCGTCTTAATTGTGATAATAGAACCTACCGTATACTTATAATATTTGCTTTATTTCTTGAAATTCAGCCAACTTTTGCTCACTAATAGCATTATTTGTATATGTATAGATTACCTCTCTGAATAGGTTATCTCCCTTACACCACTGATAATCTGTAACTATTCATTATTTTTCTTCTTATACATGTAACTTTAGGTTACTAGTATATGAATAAATCTTAAAATATAACATGATTGTCTCAAATGATTGATTTCATGTTCTGTCTGTATATAAATATTTGTATATATGTATTTAAAATAATTAATTTGTTTATCTGCTTCAATTGATTTTTTTACACTTGTAGTTGAACATGTTACACTGAATTCAAGAAACTACTGTTGTTAATTGTTTTGATAATACTCAAGTTCAGTATACCACTCCCTATGAAATTATATTTAAAATATCAAATTGATGCTTTCCACATTCTGAGAATATTATTTTTCATTAGTCCCTACTGTTATTTCTTTCCTCAAGTCTCTGCTTATTTATTTATTGTTATTTTTTTTTTTTTTTTTTTTTTTTTTTTCATTTTTTGGCGTGTTAGTAGTTTGTAAGTATGTTTGTGTGTGATTGTAAGCTATACTATAGTTCTTCCTCTATTACTGCCTGTAATACCAATATGATATCACTACATGTATACTCAAGATATTTTATACATTCTGTTTGTTATAAAACTTCTACTTCTGATGTCTGGAAATATTCACTCTAATCCAGGTCGCTCATCAATCAGTATTAATCAAAGAAACTACTATAATGATTTATCAATAATGCACTTAAATGTTAGGTCTCTTCGGAACAAGGTTGATCTTATAGATACTGAATTCACTGACTATGACATCCTATGTCTTACTGAAACTCACCTGAATAATGAAATAACTGAATCTGATTTGCAAATTAACTCACATCCCAACTCATATCGTAGAGACAGACAATCACAACACGGTGGTGGTATTATGATATATACTAAAAACAACCTCTTAATAAATCACAGAACTGATCTTGAAACTGAAGACATAGAACTTGTCATCCTAGAAATTAACACTTCTAACAAAAAAATACTTCTCTGCTGTCTTTATAGACCTCCTAATACAAAAGTAGATTACTGGAATAAACTTGATAACATTTTAGATAATCTTTCTAATACTAATCTTAATATCATTATCACTGGTGACATAAATATTGACTTTATCACAATGAAACCTAATTCACATCTTGCAAGATTAATTACTAAATATCACTTAAAAAACTTAATACAATCACCAACACGCATTACAAACACTACTGCTACCTTAATTGATGTATTTATTACTAATAATGTAAACATTTTTACCTCAACAAATGTACTTTCCCCTCTCTGTAGTGATCACTGCCCCATCCTTGCTAACATTTGTTTTAAGACACTAAAAAATAAACCATTCAAGAAACCTATATATAAGTTCAATGAAGCTAATTGGGATGCTATTAATAATGAACTACTTAGTAATGATTGGGATTCCATAGTTAATAACACTACTAGCATTAATGAACTATATTCTACTATTATAAACAAAATAAACTCTGCTACTAACTCTCATATACCTCACAAAACAATTACTGTCCATCCTGATGATAAACCTTGGATGACTGGTGAAATTCGGCATAAATTAAGATATAAGAATAGATTACATAAAAGAGCTAAAAATAAAAATAGGGAACAAGATTGGGCAAAATTTAGAACTTGTCGCAATGACACTATACAAATTATTCGGCAATCCAAAGAAAATTACTTTAAGAAACTTCAAAATTGTCTTGCCGACAAAACAGTGCATCCAAGAAAATGGTGGCAGATAGCAAAATCTATAGGAAAAATGAATAACACTAGCACTAATTCTTATCCTCTAAAATCTAACAATAAAATATTAATCCATCCACAAGATAAAGCTGAGGCACTAAATAACTTCTTTACCACCATTGCCTCTGATATTACTGACACTAACCTACCTGATTTACCTCCCTTATGTCCATTTGAACTTTCTGACATTAACATTACTGAACAAGATATAACTGACCAATTTGACATTTTTAATAAAAACAAACCAGCTGGTCCTGATGGTATTTTACCTATGATTGTAAAGAACATTTCTGCTTCTTTAGTATACCCACTCAAACTATTATTTAATAGAACTTTATCTATTGGAGTAATACCTGATGTACTAAAAACGGCTAATGTTACTGCTCTCTATAAAGGTAAAGGAGATATCAGTGATCTCAATAATTATAGACCTATTGCTATTACATCTATTTTTATCAAAATGTTAGAAAAAAATATTTTTAAATATACGTTTAATTATATTTCAAGTCACAATATGTTAAGTGTACATCAGTCAGGATTTCAACCCAAAGACTCCACTACTAATCAACTAGCTGATATCTATAATACTATAAGTGGCAATTTAGACCAAGGTAAAGATTTGCGTTTTGTTTTCTGTGACATAAGTAAAGCATTTGATCGAGTATGGCATTTGGGCCTATTATATAAACTAAAAACATATGGTATTAAAGGTAAATTATATAATTGGTTTAAAGCTTACTTATCTGACAGAAAACAAAGGGTTATCTTTGAAGGTTATAAATCTAGTACCAAACCTATGTCTGCAGGGGTTCCTCAAGGATCTGTCCTTGGTCCCTTCCTCTTTCTTCTTTTTATTAATGATATTACTAATAATGTAACTTCTCATATAAAACTCTTTGCAGATGATACCTCTCTCTATGTAATAGTAAATAATAACAATGACCTTACAACACCTACTAACATGCTTAATGATGATCTTGACTCAATCTCTGAATGGTCAAAGCGATGGCAGATCCTATTCAATACGAATAAGACTGTAGCTATTAACTGCTCTCATAGACACATTAACAATCATCCTCAACTGCTATTTAACAATACTCCAATTGCACAACATGAACATCATACTCACTTAGGACTAACATTTAGCAGTAAAGGGACATGGTCAGATCACATTTCAAATATTTATAAGAAAGCGACCTCTAGACTAAGTATTCTTAGAATTTTAAAAACTACAGTTGATAGGAATACATTAAAAACATTATATGTCTCTTATATAAGACCTGTGCTAGAATATTCTGATATAGTATGGGATAATTGTACCAAATCGGAATCAGATCTTTTAGAATCAGTTCAACTAGAAGCTATGCGTTTAATTACTGGCCTCAGACGAGGTACATCTCATCATATTCTGTATACTGAAACACAACTTGAAACATTACACACTCGAAGACAAAATCATAAACTAACATTAATGTATAAGATTCTTAATAATTACACTCCAACTTATCTCGATAATATCAATCAACCATTTCTAAATGTAAATAATAACTATACCTTCAGAAATAACAGATTCTTTAATATACCACAGACAAGAACTACTACTTATATGAATAGCCTCTTCCCTTCTACAATGGTAAAATGGAATGCACTTGATAGCACTGTACGAGACTCCATCTCAATTTCATCTTTTAAAAAGAAACTTAAAAAAACCTTTGATACATCCGTCTCAGAAACTTTTATTAACTGTGTTCCGAGGAAACTTAACATAATTTTATGTCAGTTAAGAAATTTTAAAAGTGATCTTAACTTTGATAAGTTACAAGACCATCTGATTGATGATGCTTCCTGTGTATGTGGTGTACAGAGGGAAGATCTAATACATTTTTTCTTTCAATGTCCTCTGTATTCTAATATTAGGCATCATATTACCACTATTTATAATCTAGTAGGATATTTAAATCTGCACTGTTTAGTATATGGTATTAGTAATGTATCCGACCAATTAAATAAAACTATTCTTATACATGTTGACTCTTATATTAAATCATCAAAACGTCTTGTTACTTATACGTGCTAGATAAATTTCTAAATGAATATTCATGTAATGTTATAATTATTGTTATTCAGGCAAGTTTTATCCCTTAAATAACGAGTATTAGACATAAGCTGGTGTGGGTGTGCATGAGTGTGAGAGGAAACGAATCACAACATTTTATATATTTAAGCATTGTACATAAATACCGGAATTAGAAGAAGACTGATATAGGCAAAGCCTGTTGTCTTATTCTTTTGTCAATACTGTTCAAATATCTTCTTTAATGTTAACTTATATGTTTGTATTATATATGTATTGTCAATAAAATACTTTGAAATTGAAAAAAAAACACTTATTGAGATGTCATGACACAGAAACACTTATTGAGATGTCATGACACGGAAACACTTATGCAACAGACACACCCGAATAGGACATGGTTGTAAACCAAAATGTTAAGTGACAGATACAAAACATCCCACTCTGACATGACATGTATATATCACAATGTAAACTGATCATGTTGTCAGACTTGACTAGGCCATCAAACTGACCTTAAGTTTAACTCATTCACCCCTTAAATTTCATAATAAACTAGTCCAACCTTGGAATTGGAGGAGTTCAAATGAATAAGTTAAGAAACAACTTCATATTTACCTTGCCAATACACAGCCTCTGAGCCACCTCTAAAGCCTTCTGTTTGGCCGTCTCTCGTACATAATCGATCGGAGGAAGACTTTTGTCAATATTTTCTTCAAATGTTGATGGAATCACCTCAAACTTCAATCCCTGAAATAATGATTCATCATTGTAAGCAGGTACTATTGAAACAACTGATCATGGTAACAGTTTTTGCGGTAAACTTTGTTTCTTTCAATAAACCATAAATCCAAAACTAGAGGTAAAATTCCAAAAATGGCATTTGCAATATAATATTTTTTACTTTTTTCTGAGGATACTTTGCAATGTTTTATTTTTTTAATATCCAGGTGAGCCATACATGCTCTCTGGGCCAGCTAACTTGCATCATCGATATCCAGGGGTTACGCTCACTTTCGCTCTCTGCTCCCCTGGAATATGTCATAGCAAAATTGTAGGCTCAGAGTGCACCTCTTGATGATGAGACAAGGAGACTAGTTTGATACTTTGATATAATCAAACGAATCTCGCGGTCACGTATTGGTAAAAATTGACAGGCTTTGAAGTCGGGCGTCTGTAATTTTCAAAGGACATGTTTCAGCCTAGCGATTGGTCAGGTGCTTTTTTACCTTAGACCAATCAAGCAGCTATTCGTGCCTTCAATTTTGCTATGACATAGGCCTATTCCAAGGGTGCAGAGAGCGAAAGTGAGCGTAACAGCGTAACCCCTGGATATCGAGGATGGATATCAATAGAATCATTGGAACTTTGATTATGGACATTTGAAGAAGTATTCCGAAAACTGATGAAGTTTGGTATTTTTTTCACGAAAATTATACTTCAGTTGTTGAGCGGAAGCGAAATAGTTTTGACAGACGTCTTACAACATGGTTCTGTAGAATTGTTTTCCTTCTTGGAGATCCACTCGCCAGTACGATTTTATTGGAATTTAATGACGATATAACCGATTGCAACATCACAAATTAGCCCAAATACAGGTTACTGTTCACAGTTCAGTGATCGACAACAACACACTTCAAAGTTTCACTGTTACGTGTAGTTGTTATTAGTAGAACCGGCGTGATCTCGTGGAAATCTGTTGTTGACATCCATACCTTAGTAGTTCCGGCCCCTACCCGGTCCGGCCCCGTATTCTTAGTCGTTCCGGCCTCATATATTATATATATGATTCTTGTTTATTTGGAATTAAATTTTAAATAAAATTTATTTATATAATGGATAATTCATGTTACTCATTCAAAGAAATAAAATCAAAAATTAAAACATAACATCACATTGTTCATTTGTTGTCTTTTCATTGTTGTCTAAAACAAAATACACCTGTGTAAACATACTGAGTAAGATTGCTATTTAAGACACATTACAATCACTGTCTTTTGTTTATCTTATTACTTCGTGCGTTGGAAACTGTATGGCTTTCTAGCAAACGCCGTGTTAACAACATAGGTGTATAGTCTACCGACGTTGTTTTTACTTTTAGTTGATGAAAGACGTTGATTTTTTTTTTGTCATCACATCTTGTTAAAATCGATCTTCCAAGTGTGAAGATGCAAATCTGTATGCTCTCAACTAAACTATTACCATTAAGTAATGACTATTACCCATATATATATTAGTTATCATTATAACGTATATGTTAGTTATAATTGTTAAATATATTTTGTCATTAAGTAAATATTTTAGTTATAACAGAGACGTATTTTATACGTCTCTGTATACGTCTCTTGTTATAAGTCTCTGTATACGTCTCTTGTTATAAGTATTTAAACTCCCGTCTTCCGTATTGTTGATTGCATTAAACATACATAATTAACATAATGTATCATGTTTTTTTCTTGACTTTTTAACCCGTACACTTGTACAAGTAACACAATGCAAAATGTAAAACTGTTTCATCCGGGGCCGGAACTACTAAGGAGGGACCGGGCAGGGGCCGGAACTACTAGGGGGCCGGATCGGGAGAGGCCGGAACGACTTGATACGGCTCTAATTTGTGAACAGGTAAGCGGTCTAATGTATACGGTGAGGTAGAAGTTTACCGATATAAACTTATATTTGTAAAAAAAAATCATAATACATATATACTTTTATTTATTATGTTGATGGGGAAACTACATTTATTGTTATTTGCCATCTAGTAAAAGTCATCATTCACGACAAACGGGATGGATCCGTAACGTATCTGACCGGTTTCTCTTTCTGTGTGAAAATTTATAGCAACCCTGAATAGGAAAGTACTAATGACGGGATAACAAAGCAAACTTGGGCATGTGGTAGAATGGTCTATGTTATGCCATTTTGAAACATCAATTCCTTTCAATTCACAACGGAAATGAGACAGCAATTGAAAAATAGCAATAAGAGAATACCGAAATGTCAACAATAACACGATTCGAACTCAAATAGATCAAACTAAAGCAAAAGACAGACAAAGGAAACATTAATATGGAGACCCCTGTAAAAGTACAAAGAAGATTAAACAATGTGTTCCGGAAGAGTAAGCGTCTTCTTCATCGATGACACCGGTCATGTAAATCAAGAGCTGACTCGAAATGCGACGGACATGTAAACACCCGGGAAATAGAGATGTTGCTATCAAGAAAGAGAAAGTTAACGACTGGAAAGTCGCAATCGTCCCGTCGTGAGATTATGTCTGATAAACAAAAATAGTACAAAACATTGTTGAAGTGGAAATTCCTGCGTGTTGAAATGTTCGCATCAAGACTCTTTTAACTGATATCGATCGATGTGAAAATGTTCGCGTTGTTAGGGGGTTCTGAATCTTAATAATCTATGTTTCAATAATCGCACGAGGAAAATAAAGTAAACGCGTAAGAACGATGGCATTTTCTCACCACGAACATTTTCAGTAACGGCTGGAATTGAACTGAATTAAGCTTGCATGAGGTTTTCTAGTTTTGAAAAAAAACACATCAACTGTTGCTTAGGGAATTTGTTTTTATTAAGCAGTAAAAAGATTATCAAGTATTTAACAGCTTAAATAATTATCTGAAATAGCCTAGAATTAACCACAGTTTTCTAATGGGAAAACATTATTATGAGCTGAACACTGGTATTAGCCGCGATAAACCATTGGTCTGATTTCTCTGCGAGTTATCTCTCCTGAAGCACCAACTATTCTGCTGGCTGGTCACCTTTGATATTTTGTTCGACATCTGATTCATAAAACTGTAAGTCGGTTTTGGTGAGTTTCAAGGAAAGAACGTGCATTAAGTATTTAAAGCACAACCCATGATTATAAGTTTCTCCAATAATGAGTTAAAAGGGCGAAAAATAATCAGATTTAAGACACTGTATTACTGCCAAAAACTGTCCTACATTGTTCTGGATTTTTTCCAGCATAACTATTACTTTGAAAAATATTTTCCGAAAGTAATTGAAAGGGAATATACATAGCAGAGATTTTTATGAAAAAAGAGGAAGTAAACAGAACAGATTTTTTTTTTACAAAAATGTTCTAAGCGTAAAAATGCAATGAAACCAGACCAGGAGTCGGACTATGATTAAACTGTCGCTCTCACCGACCGGGTCGCCTGGTAGACGAGAATATACGATTGATGTGGTCTAAACATTCTTGTTATTTGAAGATTGCACACCGGCGATATATAAAACTGGAACTGCTAGATCACGAGATCTTTTGTGCACTTCAAAATCTTCATTCCATTAATTCCTCTTCTCGGCTATACAGTATTACAATACGACTATTACCCTGGTTTAATGGCACTATCACCCTGGTTTAATGGCAGTATGGAGTTTGGATTATAGTTCAGTTGTGCAACTAGAGGAGCCAGCCATACAACGTTGTTTAAACAGGATTATTGTGACATTTCGCATTCAAAGCAAACGAGGCAGGTCCGTATCATTAAAATTTTATAAGAATGATTCGGCAGTATTTCGTCATTTGAAAAACTTCAAGCGGAATATGTAACAGTGTTTGCTGAAAAGGGTCATTTCGTTAGATGCGATGTCTACCGAAACAACCATACACGTGCTATGCAGATCGTTGAGTGTGGTTTGGACACCGGGGTCAAGAAATACAGAATTGTTTTCATTTTGGAGTTCAAGTCACTAAAAAAATTCAAAGGGCCTGTTTCCAGTAATGTTAATTCTCCATAGGAGCCTGCCCCCGTATAATTTCTTATCTAGCTCAACTAAGGTTTTTTTCTTTTCTGAAGAATAATTTTACACCTTTCCGACACCCAGATTTCATAATTTCAGTGAAAATGTATTTTTATAAAGTTGTCAATTTCAGCATCAAAGACATAAGTTCGTAAATAAAAGAAGGTTATCTCGAAATTGTAATTCGCAACATAGTATAAATTTCTTTTGATAAATATTTCCAAAACATCGTGTTTATTCATAAAACATAAAAAAAAAAATTCTCGGATGAAAATGCACTTGCAGAGACACAATTATGAAGAAAAATGCCATAAAATTGCAATTTTCTCCCGTTATATAGTTTTGGATGCAAATTTCCATCAGAAAATCGGATAGAGCTTTACTTGTTTCATATGTGTACCAAAAATCAGCTAATTCCATGTGGTGGAACGTTCTCATATCGCCGCCTGAATGTGGTTGTAAATTGAAAGAAAAGGGGAAATGAGTAACAACCTTGTCTGAAACCCTATTATATAGCTTATTATATACAAACTTTTATATTGAATATCAGAGCGGATATTTTCATGACAGTTTTATGATGTGTAACGACTAAATAAACAGTATCGATATAAAGATTTACACTGAGGACACCCTGATACATGAATACTGTTCTATCTCAAGTTGTCCTCTTCTGAATTTTCTGATCGTGTGGCCTTGTACATTTATCCGTATCTTCTTGTCTTTGTCTATACGTTTACGGAATCATTGACTCGACGCTAGCTATTCTTGTCTCACTTTCCTTGTTTTATTGTCCCATCTCCAAAGCGTTGTGGCTCTGTCAGGGTTGGGACCCTGACTTGTCTCACTTTCTTTGTGCCTGCCGACCACGCCACATCGAATAGATAGATTATCCATATGAAATACTTTATTTTGTTCTAAGTAATCAATCAATTCTGCGCTTCTTGGAGGTATTGAATGTGATTTATTATATTGTCTTGTTATTTTGTGTAATTAGTTGTTCGTTATTTATCACACATTTTCGCATAATTGTACCAAACTACTAAGTATTAGCTGTTTACAGCAATCATCGGTGGCTTGCTATTTTGTTACTTTATCGACGCTTCATAAACCAATCGTTATTGTTTCAAGATGGAGGGTAAATGTGTTGGAGAAGGGTGTCAAGTATACTTCAAGAAACGTAGTGGCAATAAGAACAGAAGTGCACGCAATGTAAATAGTCCACAATATAAATGGCTCCTAGATACGCTGGTGCAACAAGGATTGATGTCAGCAAAGGAACAAGCACTTATTTGCCAGAAGTGCTACATGAAGTATCTTCGGAACAAAAATCAGCCTGAACCTGAACCCGAGCAGAACCAGGAAATAGAGGAAGAAGACGACTCCCCGTCCCATATCCTGCCGTTGCTGACCCTTCATGATCTTTTGAATGGATCATCTTCACACAAAAAATGCTGTCTCTGTCTTGTTACCTTTGCAAGAAATGGAACAAAATCATCAGTCTTACCAAAACGTGCAAGACATCACCTGATCTATTCACACAAACTGTGGTGTCCCACCTCATCCCGCGTCTGCTCCATTCACCTTATTGGTAACGACTTAGATCCGTCTACAGAGGTTGTCCTTGATGGTAGAGGTTCCTTGGAATCTCAGTTACCATCAAAATCGTCCGAAATCATTAATGACCTCCTAGAGGTGTCGCACGTCCTTTCACAGAACCAGTCTGCGTTTACAATAAGCTTTTCTTCTCTTGATGACTCGGCATGCATGGCCTGGACAGGTTGGTCCAAAGATCAGTTCCTCGAAATCCACTCGCACTGTTCCCCATATCTTTCATCTGGTATATATACCAAGACTACACACGATGCTCTATTACTGTTCTGGGTAAAACTGAAAACCGACATTTCCTGGAGTCAGTGTTCTTCTCTTTTTGGAATTTCCAAGTCAAGTGTGTCCAAAACTTTCCACTCCATAGTAC